CCCATATTGTAAGCAACTAGCTTTAGTGGTGTCTCGCAGGCTTAAAAACATATCGAGATCATCTAGCTAACTACGCACATCAACTTGTACACCAATTTGTGCAACATGTCAGCGAACAAATGAACCAGCAACAACAACTGATCAGCGACGACATGCAACAAAACGTATACAACTCCATTACACACCTACTTAACTACAACAAAATACGGTAGCCACGCAATTGCCAATACAACAACAACAAAAGCAGCAAAGGCACATGCAAGAAATGTCCTTCAATAAAATCAAAATACAAACGAGACAAGCGCGACTGCCAACGCAAGCTTGGAGCAAGAACGCGCACGCGCTGAACCAACCAGCCAGCCAGCCAGCCACCTAATCAGCTTGCCGCTTAGCTTTAGTCGGCGAACGTACCCCCACTGCCGCCGCCCACAAGCACGACAGCACACGACCACACTGCTGGCTCAGTCTGCTTGTTTGCACACGTGAGCCTCCCAGTAGCGCTTGTGGTTAACACGCGCCCGCAACAAGCCTTATGAAAATTAAAATAATTCACTACAAAAAACAAAACAAAATAAAAAACAAATCAACGACAACAACAAGCCAGCAAAGCGTTCGCCGTTTAACGCCTCTTGGGCCATACGCCACTACGGCCATAACGGCTGACAAGCTGCCGCTGTGATGTGCGAAAGCAAAAGGTAAAAAAATGAATATAAGCAACAACAACTAGTAACAACACTAGCGCAACAACAACAATAGCATCGCTTTAATAACATTGATAAGCACCTTATAATGTAGCTGATGCATAACAAATGCGGCCGAAGGCGCAAACACACACCCGAAACGGCACAAAATGCCAATGCACAGCCAACAACTACAACTACAACAACATGCATGCGAGAATATCAGCAAGCGTCAGTTGGTGTGACGCCGGCACAAATGTCCGTTTGTTGTTGTTGTTTTTGTACAATAAATACGACTTTATAGCTGTTGGTGATTGTTGCTGTTGTTGTTGTACAATAAAAGCGAGTTTATTGCTATTGTTGTTGTTGTTGTTGCTCTCACTGCGCTGGTACCTTAGTGTGCAGGTATGCCAGCCACAACCAGCTATGCACACACCGCAACCCCCGCACCCACCGCACCAGCACGCCTATGCACCGCTCCCTCAATCATTATAACTACTCTGTATGCGCTGCTGTAACTCTGCACGTGCAGCTGTATGTGTGTTTGTGTATGTGCCGGATTTTCGAATCGTGAGAACCGATTTTGTCGTGTGTTTCCCACGCGAGGTGAACACCTGCCTATTTTTTTTCCTACCTTTGAGTCTTACTTATGCACATACATACATACGTACCGACATACATATCACAGTGCTTGGCTCTTATTGCCGTTTTCCTTTGACGTTGTCTTTCTTTCTAGAGGCATTTGGTGCATTGCGTTTGTTTGGGGCTGTTGTTATCGTAAAGGAGTACATTGGCTGTATGCATGCATGTATAGTATGTAAATGTGGGTGTGTGTATGACTGTTGTTTATAATTGCTGTTGTTGTTGTTGCTGTTGCTGTTTCATACTTGAGGCACGTCGTCGCTGCTTGAGCTTGCTGCGCATGCGTGGCTGCGTGTATTGGATTTCTGGGGAGCAGCAACAGTAATAACAGCAAAACAACCAACAACTCACGGCTAACAACAACTCTCGCTGATTTTACACACTTCAAAGTTGTTGCTGTACTCCGAGCGAACCAACCACTTTCTTGGACACCTTGGAGCTTTGCACAACCAAGAGGCCAACTTAAAAGTGGGTGAATCAGCAATGGTGGGGTTTCATTGGCCGCAAACAAATTGCATACATTGTATATGTATAGGCCTTATAGACAAGTATACTCTAAACTCTTGTGCTTGCAAATATGCTGCAAAAGCACAAAAAATAAGAAACTTTAACTTCGGTTACACCGAAGCTAGAATACCCTTCACAAGTAATTTTTTTTTTTGTGTGGGTTATTTTGTACGACAGCTATATGTTCTTGTAGTCCGATTTGAACGATTTCTTCAACGACTATTCCTTCGTACCGCATAATAGTCCCGGCCAAGTTTCGTAAAAATATCTCATCAAATAAAAAAGTTTTCCAAACAAAAACTTGATTTTGAACGGTCAGTTTGTATGGCAGCTATATGCTATAGTGGTTCAATCTGAAAAATTTTTTCGGAGCTTGCATTATTACCTTAGACAATAATTTATGAAAAATTTCTTGAAGATATCTTGTGTAATGCTGGTGTTTTGCATACTAGCACTTTATTCCGATCGTTCAGTTTGTATGGCAGCTACATGCTATACTAGTCCYAAATCGGTGGTTTCGACAAATGMGCAGCGTYTCGTAGAGAAAAKSACTTGTGCAAAGCCTCATTTCGATATCTAAGAAACTGARAGACTAAYTCTCATATAAACAGTTGACGCGTGACGTCGATCATATATGTATATATATACTGTAKTAAATCCGACAGTYTTTTATATGTATATATTACGGTATGTCCGACGTTTTCTTCTACCAGTTACAAACTTAATTTACCCCATTCAGGGCATACAATCGCACAATAAACTGGTCTGCCTCATCGTCAATGGGGCGGCTCTTGCCAGCATGCCTCGCCTGTCGACTTGCGGTCTTGTTGGCGGCTTGCAATTCAATTTAGCCACAWAACTGCAGTGATTTCCACAGACTCCACTGGCACTATAGCTTGATGGCTTAACTACTTGGCATTGCTGGGCTGAGTGGCCGCATGGCCGCGAGTATGAACGTTTGCTTTGTGTGGCACACGCGCGCGCTTTTGTAAGCTGCCAGCCGCCAGCGCGCCAGTTTAATGGATACTTGGCGCATGCGCTTGACGATCGGCACGCTTCATGTGGTGTGCTGCAAAATTGATACATACATACGTACAATTCGCCAAGTGGTGAGTTATGCGCAAACTTGTACATATGTTTGCATGCTTTTCTTTTGGCGSATGCGTGTTTAGTGGGCGCTTGCTGCGCGTGTGCTGTGTGGGCAGCTGTTGGTGAGTGGACTGCAGTGACATTGCTATGTGCAATTGATTACTTTTGATTGCCGGTAAATGAATTTTTAGAAATCGCCACATATATGTACATACAAAGATGATAAATGTTTAATTAAAAGTTTGGCTTGAATGTGTAARCAGATTAAATCTGTTGGCCTACTAATAGTTGCGGTTGATTGTCGACAGCGTGAGAGCCTGGATTTTGCGGCAGAATGAGAAAAGCTTCAGCTCAGCTCTTAAAAAGTTCACTTCTGGCAAAAGGTGAAGCTAAGATCTGGTGACAAAATCGGCAGCACCGAAGATATATGAACCTTATATGCACATAGGAGGACGGTTGATGAATAGACTATTAATTACTCATCCACAACAACACCCCATTAATTTTCTATTCAATACGATTTTGCCCTCTGCTCCAACTTTAGKCACCCATTCTATTTCAGTAGATCCAGCCAAAGAGTGCCCAACCTCGTGATTGCATTTATGGACTGCATTAAGGATTCAATTAGCTAAGCTAAAGGGACACAAAATAAGCATGTGTAGCATGGAGGGTCTGTCTTACCACAGTTCATGATCCTAAACCAGCCAGCTACCGTCCTAACTTGTTCATGTTGTTTGGAAGAGGAAACTGCGGATTAACGAAGCATTTGACACAACAGATACAATGACAGGTTTATTAAAGCCAATGAACTCGCGAGAGGCCCGTTGATTTGACGAAACTATCGCATTCACAGTATTCCGAGCAACCGATCGAGGCAAGTCGACTGGTTAGAGGAAGGTCGACAGTTCAGCAGAGATCGTCAAAAATCTGAGGGAATAGTATGCAAGAGCCCATCTGTTGCTGGAAAAACCAAGCTTCTGTGCCTAAATAAACCAAACCCAGCCAATGAACTTGCAAGAGTACCGTTGATTTGATTTGACGAAACTGCGGCAACCATCAGAGGAAAATTTAAGGCGAGCTGGTGTTACTAAATTTCTTGATAAATTCCAGAGTTTGATAGCCAAAGAGGTAATAGCCCAATGCAGATTTTTTACTTCAGATCGGAATGCTTTTCAAGAGCGAATGCCGTAAACGCGGATGGTGATGACACCAGCAGCGCTACGATCTACTGATCTTTGGTGGATTCATAAGTTTCGAAGTCTCTGCTATTGAGTGGATATCACAAAATTGTTTGAAGGTTATGAAGGATTCCTATTGAGCAACTGAACACAAACATAACATAAAAAACTGAGAACTGAGMCTGTTGAAAACTTTTTTCATATAAAAATTACAATAGAACTGAGTTAATAAAGCGATATCAGAATAAGCTAACTAAAATCTAAATCGCAATTTTGGTTGATGAAAATAGTGACCCACAAGGGTGTGGGAGTGACACGCGACTAAAATCGAGCAAAGCGTTTGAAGCCAGCAGACACCCAACAGAGTGCTTGAGATACGGTAAACTTAATGGACTCCGAATAAAAGTATCGCCATAGCTTTATATAGATATATGTATGTATTTATATAAATATAATACACACCAATCTTAAGTGCATAAGCACCAACGAATTTGAATTATTTTCTCCCCCACGTCCATCAAGCACTTAGGCCTCCCACTTGAACTGCAACAAACACCATTAGCATTTCATGTAACGCTTTCAATTTGAAATTCCTACAGGAATAGAGAAAACTAGAGACGGCATGCAAGTCACACTCCTGGCATACACACCGAAGCACGTACAGCRACAGCAAAAACAACAATACATTAATGCGTATCGCATGCCGTCGGGCACATACAATCAGACACAAGCATTATAAGACAGACAGAAACAAAACACATACATATGTACACACAAGTAATTGTACTTGCAACCGTTGCACACTCGGTTAGGGGTTGTTCTCCTGCCAACCGTGCAGCGATCGTCGAGCTCTGGTGAGTATAAAAGCCGCACCAGTCAGAGACTCAACATCATTCAACTCGCATCCTTCTTACTGAGTGCATTCAACACAAAGTATACGCACGGTCGAGACGAAAAACCAAGAAAGCAAGCTACGTGAAGTAATACCAGCAAACAAACACACAAAAACAGCAACAACATGTCGCCGAACACAAAATCAGTACCACACGAATCACAATTCTACGCTACCAAAACSGAGCTGTACTTGAAAGTGAAGAAACCACTGTTGGAACGTCAACGTCGCGCTCGCATCAACAAGTGTCTCGACACATTAAAGACACTGGTAGCCGAGTTCCAAGGTGATGATGCCATACTGCGTATGGACAAAGCCGAAATGTTGGAGTCGACAATTGCCTTCATGCGTCAACATAGTCGCCGCCGTTCAGCCATGCCTGCTGTGGCGCCACTTGAGCCGATGGATAGTTTCCGCAATGGTTATATGAATGCCGTCAATGAAGTATCGCGCGTTATGGCCGCTATGCCGGGCATGAGCGTCAATGTGGGCAAATCGGTGATGACACATTTGGGTAGCGAATTCAATCGGCTATTGCAGCAACAGCAAGAGCAARCAATCGTTGTAGATGTGGCGGAGAAGATGAGCGAAAAAGTGGCGCGTCCATCGAGTCGTGCATCCTCGGGTTATCACAGTGATTGTGAACACGATAGCCCAATGCCATCACCAGCACCTGTATCCGCCACCGAGTGCGCCACCTGGCGGCCATGGCTGTAAGCGTTCGCTGCGTCCGTTAATTATACGCTGCAGGGGGGCATTACCAGAGCAACTGAGAGCTTTAAATCAAGACAACTTGAGAAACAACGATTGTGTGTTTAGACTGTGATCGCATTTATTTGCATTGTTATTGTATCTTCCAATAGAAACAACTCTACGGCTTTAATAGTTTGTAAGAATTTARAAATTATAAAAAAAAGAATAAGAGCTTTAATAGTTTGTAAGTTAAAAAATTATGAAGAAAATATAAAAGAAATGAAAATTATTAACAAAAATACTGCCTTTAATTTTAGTATACAAAATGCAGATATGCTTATGAGGATTCTCTTGTTGTCTATTTCTAATGGTTTTGATTGCGATGTTAGGCAAAGCTATGGCTTTGAGTAGTTGATATCGTTATGAGAGAGAGAGAGAGAGATCGCGGATCTAATCCGCGAGAATTGGAAACAACAAATCAATGTGGAATAGCGTTACTTTTATAACTGGGAAGAACATCTATTCTAACAGCATACTTCTATTTTGTAAAGCGCACTTAAATTGCACCTTAGCCCACTCTGATCTTTATTAAAGATACATAGAATAGAATAATCGAGTCAATCTCACAAGAAGATATTCAAGGAATTCAAAAACGCATATCGTGAGAGAAGACTGTTCGTSAATCACCTGAGCTTTTACTCGAAAATAATACACCATTCTTAACAAATATTTACATTTACTTTACTCATTCGAATGGTAAGGAATTCTAGTGAGCTTGACTAGTTTTCCCATGATTGACATCAACGGGCGTCCACTCAGTCAACTAGCGTGGTAACACTAATCATATATTCAAGTAGCAAATCGCACCCTTCTATATTCCCGCAATACAGAATTTCTACCGCCCGATTTTTGAACAAAAAACCTCAAGTGATGAAAACTTTAGGGYAAAACGCAAAAAAAGTTACGTTCAACTTCGTAGTGCAGTCTCATCTCAATGGGCTCTTTTAGGAGACTACATATGTACAGTTTTTAACAGCAAYCCAATATATCTTCAGAGCTAAGTACAATATATTTACGAGTTTAAGCTGAATAAAAGAAGTCGCAAAATCRAAATGGAAATAACATCTCAAATTCTTTTTTTTTTACAAATAATTTTAGAAAAATGGAAAGTGCTTGACTTACYCAGCAGAAGCATATGTTTAGATGCTGAAAAGAAAAAGTTCATTAATATAAAAACTTGATATAAATAGCAGTAAATATAAATAATGTCTCTTTATTAGRAGAAGCCATAATATATGATATTCGCTTCTTCGTCCTCTGATAATGTTCTGCACTTCTTAATATCAAATCTAAGTACAAATTACCCGCGCTATTAATGTTCACGTCCAGATCAACAAAATGATATCTTTCCACAAACTCTACATGTAATTTAACAACCCTCAACCCTTGACGGTTAAAAGTGACAAGTTGTCGGCCTTTGACTGACTAATTTTCGAGTTCGAACATATCGTTATAAATTAAACCGCGTTTTATTTTTTAAATTCTGATCATAAAATATGACTTAAGAGAAATTTCAATACTAATGGCTTGTTAAGAATATTATTATGAGACAATTTATTCGCTCACATTTTCTCAAATGAATAACCTACCAACATTAAATTCTGTAAATGTACATTATTTTCATTTATTTATTTAATACAATGCTTCTTAACCAAAAAAAAAAAAACTAAAAAAACAAAAACAAAAATTAAAAACAAGTAAGGAAGGGCTAAGTTCGGGTCTCACCGTACATTTTATGCTCTCGCAAGATAAAGAGATAATCGTGATTTCATTATCCGTCATTTACATGTTTTTTATTTTGTTGTAAATTAATTAGATTACATCAATTTGTGTACTTTGAGTATTGAATTGTATTTTCATTTATTTTAATTGCATTGAAAAGTTATAGTCCGATCACGACAATTTTTCCACAAGGGATACTTCAGCTCAAATACCGTWTTTGTGATAAGTTTTATTCCGCTATCATCATTGGTTCCTAATGTATATATTATACAGAGAAGGCATCAG